CATTTGCCCATTTCATTTATATCATCAAATTTATTGGCTTTAAGTAGTTCATATTATTCACTTATTTTTTTTGGTAGCATCTAAATGATGCCCTTCTTTCATTCCTGATATTGGTAGTTAGAACGTTCTCTCTTTTTTTCTTGATCAGTCAAGATAGAAGTTTGTCACTTTTAGTAGTCTTTCCAAAAAACCAACTTTTGATTTCAGTGATTTCCTATATTTTGTTCATTTAAAAAATATTACCACTCTTTATTATTCTGTATTTTTACTTTCCTTGGATTTACTTTGCCTCTCTTCCTCTAGTTTCCTAACGCAGAAGATTAGAAAATATTTTTAGACCTTTTTCTCTGATCTAATAAATAATTTAAAACTATAGATTTCCCATATAAGCACTGATATCTCATATGTCATCTCTTCACAACTTTTGATATTTTCATGTATATTTGAATTCAAAATATTTTCAAATTTTCTGTGTAATTTCCTCTGTCATCCATTGTTTTTTAGAATTGTGTTATTTAAATTTCAAGTGCTTGGAGAGCTTTCAGATTTTTCTCTGTTATTGATCTCAAGTTTTATTATGATCAAAAAACATGCTTTGTATAAATTGATTTATTTTAAACTTATTGAGACCTTTTATGGTCTAGAAAATGATCTATCTTGGTGAATGTTCCATGTGTGCTTGAATAGATTGTAATCTCTTGTTTTGGGACTGAATAGAAACATCAAGTAAGTTCAACTGATTAGTAATTTTCAATTTTTCTATATCCTGGGCAAATTTCTTTCTGATTGTTCTGTCAGTTAATGAGAAACAGGTATTGGTATCTCAAGTATATTTTTTGTCTATTTCTCCTTTCAATTCTGTCAGTTTTTGCTTTGTAAGTTTTGTGCTTTGCTTTGTTGTTAAACATATGTAAATGATGATTTTATATTTTCCTATTATAGTCACCCTTTTATTATTATGAAATTTCCCTCTTTTCTCTAGAAATACACTTGTTTTAATGTCTGTTTTGTCTGATATTAATACAACCACTGTAGGTTTCTTATACTTACTATATGCATGATTCCTGTTTCCAGAAACTTAATTTCCACCTATTTGTTTCTTTGCATTTAAAGTATGTCTCCTGTAGGCAGCGTATAGTTGAATCTCACTTTTTATTGAGTTTCAGAATCTCTGCCTTTTGATTGGAGTATTTAATTCATTTACATTTAAGATAATTATTAAATAGTTAGATTTAGATCTAACAATCAATTGTTTTCCAATTTCCCTTTTTTTTTGTTTTATTATTTATTTATTATTTGTATTGTTTTATTCCTTTTGTGTTAAGCAAATATTTTTTAGTATGTCATTTGAATTCCACAACTGAATTTTTGGCTACATTTTCTTGCATTGTTATTTTTGTTTGATCTGGGAATTACAATATGCATATTTAAATTATTACCTTCTATTTAAAATCAATCCTGAATTTCTTCTAGTTAAAACAAAAATAGATGATTCTGGCTGCAGTAAATTTCCAATTACTCCACTTCCATCCTTTGTAATATTTTGCCATATATATTATCTTATACATAGATAGATAAATAGATCACTTGATACATAGATAGAGATAGGTACTATAGATATAGATAGGTACTACGTATCCATAGATATCTACATAAGTATATCTGTCTATACCTATATCTACATCTATATCTGTATATTACACAGATATGTTATACACAACAACATTTGTTGCATAATTTTTGCTTTAAATAGCCATATATCTTTAAAGGAATCAAGCACGATGACTGTGGAGATGCACTGACTGGATCTCCTTTAGCGTACATGCTGAGGGTAGCGTAGTTAACTGACACTTCCAGGTGCTGTTCCCATAAACAATGAGGTCATGCTTCCCCCAGGCTGCTCATAGCCAATGACTGAGCAAGCTGGAGGTACTACATTCCTGCTCAATGTGGAATTATCTGACAGGCCCTCTGGCTGAGATTTTCTTAGAAATGTCCTGTGGGCTGAAGACTTTCCTACCCAATCCATCTTTTGTTCTCTCTGTTCACCAACGTTGGACCTGCACTTTAGTCTGAATGCTCTCTGCCTGCTCACATTCTCTCCCCAATAATTCTTCACATACATTTCCTTAAAGTAATCTATCACATTTAAACCCAACTAAGTGTCTCATTCTTGGATGACTTAAACTGACTTAAGAAAAATTATATACATATAGTTGACCCTTTAACAACATGGGTTTGAACTGAGTGGGTCAATTTGTATGTGGAATTTTTTTTTGTGTGTGTGTGTGGTATGCGGGCCTCTTGCTGTTGTGGCCTCTCCTGTTGCGGAGCACAGGCTCCGGACGCGCAGCCTCAGGGGCCATGGCTCATGGGGCCCAGTCGCTCCGCGGCATGTGGGATCTTCCCGGATCGGGTCACGAACCCGTGTCCCCTGCATTGGCAGGCGGACTCTCAACCACTGCGCCACCAGGGAAGCCCTGTATGTGGAATTTTTATTAAAATATTTTAAAATAAATATGTACAGTACTATACGGTCCATGTCTGAATCCAGGGTTGGTTGAATCTGTGTCTGTAGAACAACAGATACAGAGGGCCAACTGTAGGACTTGAGTATCTGCAGATTTTGGTATATATGGGGGTTCCTGGAACAAATACCTTGCTGATACCAAGGGACCGGATGACTGTGTATATGATTTACAGTGTTCTTTATCCCTTCCTGTATATACAAGTCACTATCTGATTTTACTTCTTTTCAGCCTAAAAGATTTCCTTTAGCATTTCTTTAAATTGTGTCTAGTAGCAATGGATTCTGTCAGTTTTGTTTCTCTGAAAATGTCTTTATGACACCTTTAGTTTTTTCTTTTTTAATTCTTTCAGTACTTTAAATATCTAAATCCAATATCTGGCTTTCATTCAGATGTTAATTATATTATTGTGCTCCTCCTTGTAGTGTGTTGTTTTTATGTTGATGCTTTTAATTTGTTTGTATTATTTTTGGCTCTCAGCAGGTTTACAAACTTATGTGTTTTTTTTGTTTGTTTTTGTTTTTTAAATTTTGTACAGTTTTATTGAGATTTTTTTGGTTTTCATCCATATCCTCCTTGGGGGGTTGTTGAGCTTCTTGAATCTGTAAATCAACAAATTTAGGGGAAATTTGACAATTATATCTTTAAATATTTTTTGCTCCATTCTATCTTCTCATTCTGGGAGTCCAATTGTTGGACTACTTGACCTGGACCATGGGTCTCTGTGGCCCTTTATGTATTTTTTCAACATCTCTCCTTTCTGTTATTTGAGTAGAAAATTTCTAGAAATCTTTCTTCAAATTCACCAATTATTTCTTCTGCCATCTCAAATCTATTGTTGAACCCATCTAGTAATTTTTTTTCATCTCAGTTGTTACGCTTTTCAAATCTAGAATTTTAAAAATTCCTTTTCAAAGCTTCTGTTTCTCTGTTAACATTTCATTTCTGTTCACTCATGAATACCATCTTTTAATTTTTCAAATTTATTTTCCTTTAAATCTTTGGAAACATTTGTGTTAGCTGCTTTGATATCTTTGCCTACTAAATCCAATAGCTAGACATACTCAGTTTCTATTGACTGGGTTTTCCTAGTTTGTTTTCTTGCCTAAGGGTCATACTTTCTTGTTCTTTGTATGTTTGGTAATTTGGGGTTAAAAACTGAACATTGCAGATAATATGTTATATAGGCTTCTGGACTCTGTTGTGTCAGTTCTAATAGGCGGTTAACTTGGCTGTACTCACACTGAACTCCCTCTCGCTGTGGTGTGCAGCAGCTGATATATCTTTGTTCAGTGTTTTGGCTTCAAGCTGTTGCTTTTTGAGACGTGTGCTCTGGATATCTCCCATATCTACATAATTTAGTGGTCAGCCAAAGTTTGGTGCAGACTTTATACTTAGATTTTATTTGAGGGTCACTCTCTGTGATTCCCATGGATTAAGCTTTCTTTCTTAATCTTCTGGTTCTTTTAGTAGCTCTCATGCCTGCCCTCTAATACCTTGAGAGGCTTCTACTTCTCTGCCATCAGAGATCTGTGTTGGGTGGGCAGCTCTCTTAGGTAAGAAAGTCCCAACATCACAGTTCTTTTTGGTGCAGTAGCAGTCTTTGAAATATAATCTCTTCTCCAGTTTTGACCTGCCTGCTGTTCGTTATTTTGCAGTGTCTTCAAATGTTTTTTAAATAATTTTATCCAGTTTTTATCATTGTTATCTGTGTAAGAAATCACCTGTTCTCATCATGTGGCCATTACCAGAAGTCATGGTCCTGATTTAATAGTATTTTCCTCATGCTAGTTTCCATTTATGTGTAGGTAAAATTACATGCTATATTTGTCACATTTTGGAATATAGTGTTCATTACAAATTAGACAAATAAATTAAAAAGCATACTTCTTTTTATGTGCTTAAGAACTATTAAATTTTCTTAGAAGCTGTGTTTAAGATTTAAAAATCTCTCTATGTCCTGGCTATTGTAAATAGTGCTGCAATGAATATTGGGGTACATGTGTCTTTTTGAATTATGATTTTCTCAGGGTATATGCCCAGTAGTTGGATTGCTGGATCATATGGTAGTTCTATTTTTCGTTTTTTAAGGAACCTCCATACTGTTCTCCACAGTGGCTGTATCAATGTACATTCCCACCAGCAGTGCAAGAGGGTTCCCTTTTGTGTTTGGAGGTTGTACCTCACTTCATAGCCTCCAGGTTTTACTCTCTCCTCCTCAACAGAGTTTGTGAGCTTACAGTTACTTTTAAAAATACATTCCTTTTTTCTATTTAAAAAAATCTTTCCATTAAACACTCTGGGCTCTGTATTGTTTCTGTTTATTATATAATACTTGGGTGATTTTCACGTCACATTCATGATCACTGTGTATTTTAGACTTTCAACATATGCTTATATCGATCTTGATAATTTATATTTATTTAGAAAGTAATTTTCTACATATTTTAAAGTTTATTGGCAAAAGTGTACATCATATTCTTTCATCTGTTTAAAAGACTCCTCTCAGGAAATGAAACTCTCATGCACTGTAGAATGAATGTAAATGGGTGAATGAATGTAAATGGGTGCAGCCACTATGGGAAGCAGTATGGAGGTTCCTCAGAAAACTAAAAATAGAACTACCATATGAACCAGCAATTCCACCCTTGGGTATATTTCCAAAGAAAACAAAATCACTAATTTGAAAAGATACATGCACCCCAATGTTCATGGCAGCATTATTTACAATTGCCAAGATATGGAAGCAACCCAAGTGCCCAAGGACAGATGAATGAAGAAGACATTATATATATGTATATATATATATATATATATATATACACACACACACACACACATACATACACACACACACACATTACTTAACCATAAAAAAAGAATGAAATTTTGCCATTTGCAACAATATGGATGGAACTGGAGGTTATTATTCTTAGTGAAATAAGTCAGACAGAGAAAGAAAAATAGTGCATGTTTTCACTTTTATGTGGAATCTGAAAAATAAAACAAATGAATGCATATAACGAAATAGAAACAGACTCACAGATACAGAGAGCAAACAATTGGTTACCAGTGGGAAGAAGGAAGAGGAGAGGGGCAAAATATGGGTATGGGATTAAGAGGTACAAACTATTGATACTATGTATAAAATAGATAAGCTGCAAGGATATACTGTACAGCAGAGGGAATTTCACCTATTTTATAATAAATTTAAATGGATTATAATCTGTAAAATATAAATCACTATGTTGTACACCTGAAACTAATATATTGTAAACCAACTATACATCAGTAAAAAATCAATTAATTAAAATAAATAAAGTAAAAAATAAATGACTCCTCTCTGTCCATAGTCGTAAGTTCTTTTTCTTTTCTAATGTGGCTTATTTGGGTTTTCCTTAGTTTTCTATTACACTCACTTAAGTTGGCTATTTATGTATCAACCCTGCTCTTTAGGCTCTGACCACCTTGAAGTCAAGAATCCTGCTTTGCTCACCTTTGTGTTTAAAACACCTAGTACACCTTGTAGGTCTTTTCTGATTGTGTACTTAAACGAACTGCAAAGACTCTGCGTTATCTCTGAAGAAACTACTGATTAAACCGATCTAAGAATTTCATTTTCACCAATGGTGAAGCTAAGAGGAAAGTGGACTTGCCCAAGGTTACATAGCAAGTTTGTGGTAGAGCAGAAATTTCTTCTTCCCAACAAACCATGCTGTCTTGCTAAAATGGATTAAACGGAAGACAGCTTCAATTACCACCTCTTCCACACACATGTATTCAAGTAAATTATGTACTTATTCCAAAGCAATTTAAGCTCTAAAATTGTGAAAGTCTTTCCATTAATATTCTGCTTCGTAAAATCATTTTTGGTTATTAATGACACCTAAATTCAGGGCTTCTTGTTCTTGGTGTTGTGTCATCCCAGGAACATGTCAGTGTGTGATGGATGTTGCTAATTTAGTGATTCTTTGCAACTTTGTAGAGAATCACCCTGCCAGTTTTTGGCAAGAAGATTTGGTTTATTAAACTTGGAATGCACCATCCAGGATAAATAATGTCTAGGTCTGTCGCACTTTAGGAATGTGTCCCAACTGAGGAAAATAAATAAGCTTTCTCTTTTCTCTCAGCTATATCTATTCATTTTGACGTCAATATTCTATGACGATAAACATAGAATATCGAAGGAAGGATTAAGCTGGCAGTCAGGAGACCTGGGTTCTTTTTTTTTTTTTTTTTTGCGGTTCGCAGGCCTCTCACTGCTGTGGCCTCTCCCGTTGCAGAGCACAGGCTCAGCGGCCATGGCTTATGGGCCCAGCCGCTCCGCTGCAAGTGGGATCTTCCCGAACCGGGGCATGAACCCGTGTCCCCTGCATTGACAGGCAGACTCTCAACCACTGCACCACCAGGGAAGCCCGAGACCTGGGTTCTTAACCAAACTCTACCATTAACTTTCTGATGACTTATTTCCTTTCTAGGGATCACAGATCCCTTATCTTTAAATTGAAGCACTTAAATGTGTACACAGAGTCTGAGCATACCTCAGAGATGCCTTAGAGATCTCTATTTAATGCATAAGGACAGAAAAGCTTTCAGAAGCCAAAGCTTTGTCTAACCCCTGAATATAAAAAGGAAGCCCAGTTTTTTTAGAGAAGCATTTCCTTTCTTTTCTGCCATTAATCAAGAATTCAAAAAATTGCACCCTTATTGCGATGGAAGCCAGCCTCCAAAACTTTCACAAGGGAGATACAGAAACTATGTTCTCAATAGTCAAAAGACTGAGAAATCACTTTCAGCACTTTTGTTTTAAAGTTGTGGGTTAAAGGAAGCAGAAGACAAAGACTTTATAGGGGAGGTGGCTTTAGAGATGTTCCTCGAGGAATGAATAAGATTTTCACGTTCATTCGTTAATCCTTTTATTCCTCTAGTACTCTGTCTATTCAGTGTGTAATTCTTGGGATCCTACTGTGGACCAGGCACTGTGCTAGTCATTGAGGAGACAATGGTGAGCATTAGGGGGGTTATTGTCTAGGGAGGAGGTAGACATTAACCCGATGATAATCGCATGAATGTATCATTACAACTTACTGTAGCTATTATGCAATAAGAAAGTACAGTGTGACTTGATATAATTCAGTGAGGGCAGTGAAGGATGTCCAGAAAAGGCCTGCTTCTTGGATGCAGTGACCCTTGGGCGGATATCTGCATTATAACTGGGTTAAGGGGAGGTGTGGGAGGGGTAGAGGAAAGGTTCTGAAGAGGGAGGGAGACTGGTGTCCTTATAGAATGGAAACGAGGTCGGTGAGGCTGCTGCTGAGAGTCAGGTGGGGACGTAGGGAAAGGATATTCTGGGCTAAGAGCAGATACGGAAAAAAGCACAGCCTGTCCTGAGAATTATAGGTAATTGCATTTGGTACGAGCGTTCCATACCTGAGGAAAGGAAGTGGAAGTTTTTGAGGGAAAAGTAGGTTGCGTTTGTACTATAGAGAGGTTTAGTTGACAGGTTAAATAATCCCTGCTTAGGTACAATGTGTTAAAGAAAGTCAGAAAAGTTATTGTCCTTGGAGCATGCTTTTACAAATGTATATTTTTTGCTAGGTGAGGGATTTTTTAAAAAAAGGAAAGAGGGCTTCCCTGGTGGCACACTGGTTGAGAGTCCGCCTGCCGATGCAGGGGACGTTGGTTCGTGTCCCGGTCCGGGAGGATCCCACATGCCGCGGGGCGGCTGGGCCCGTGAGCCATGGCCACTGGGCCTGTGCATCCAGAGCCTGTGCTCTGCAGTGGGAGAGGCCACAAGAGTGAAAGGCCCGCGTACTGCCAAAAAAAAAAAAAAAAAAAGGAAAGAAAAAAAACTCACTCTAAGAAAGGGGGTCTGTGAGGGACACCATGTGTGTAGACAACAGGATGAGTGCCTGCACTGATATTACCACACATCTTGCGGGCCCTTTTATGTGGCTAGTTGCAAAAATGTGTGAGGAATGGAAGCCGAGCCTCTCCCTTTTCATCACCGATGCCGTTTGTTGTTGCTTTCTGCCTGTTTTCTTCCTTGAGGTGTCACCCAGACTGTACATAATGACACGGGGAAAAATAAAAGCATCTCTTTTTCATAGTTGGGTTATAGTAACAGATGGTCATGTTCACTTTGCAAAGACAAATAGCTCAAGTGATAATCACAACAGGGTTGAGAGGTGCAGGAGGAAGATTTTTGCCAGGATCCCCATTCACAGCTGACTCTGGAAAGAGAACAATGTGCTTTGACAGCTTTTTAGCCCCCGCAAAGGAGAAACACTTAAATACCTGCACTGGAAGAAATAGAGGGCTGAGAAGCGGGCTAGGATACAGGAGTCATCGCACCATGGGGGGCAGCACCCACTCACACCCCCTCAGCTTCTACACCAAACTCTCACCAAGTCCTGTCAGTTTGTTTCTTAAATTGCTGTCTGTTTCTCCCATCTTCTACCAATTTATTCAGGTCTCTATTATCTCTTGTCTGTGCTATTTCTTTTTTTTTCTTTTAATTTTGAATCTCTCTATTGTTTATTATCTTTTTTTAAAAAAATGTATTTATCTATACAGCAGGTTCTTATTAGTTATCTATTTTATACATATTAGTGTATATATGTCAATCTCAATCTCCCAATTCATCCCACCCCCACCCCCTTCGCTTTCCCCCCTTGGTGTCCCTACGTTTGTTCTCTACATCTGTGTCTCTATTTCTGCCTTGCAAATCAGTTCATCTGTACCATTTTTCTAGATTCCACATACATGTGTTAATATATGGTACTTGATTTTCTCTTTCTGACTTACTTCACTCTGTATGACAGTCTCTAGGTCCATCCACATCTCTGCAAATGACCCAATTTCATTTCTTTTTATGGCTGAGTAATATTCCATTGTATATATGTGCCACATCTTCTTTATCCATTCATCTGTCGATGGACACTTAGGTTGCTTCCATGACCTGGCTATTGTAAATAGTGCTGCAATGAACACTGGGGTGCATGTGTTTTTTGAATTATGGTTTTCTCTGGGTATATGCCCCATAGTGGGATTGCTGGGTCATATGGTAGTTCTGTTTTTAGTTTTTTAAGGAACATCCACACTGTTCTCCATAGTGGCTGTATCAATTTACATTCCCACCAGCAGTGCAAGAGGGTTCCCTTCTCTGCACACCCTCTCCAGCATTTGTTGTTTGTAGATTTTCTGATGATGCCCATTCTAACTGGTGTGAGGTGATACCTCACTGTAGTTTTGATTTGCATTTCTCTAATAATTAGTGGTGTTGAGCAGCTTTTCATGTGCTTCCTGGCCATCTGTATGTCTTCTTTGGAGAAATGTCTATTTAGGTCTTCTGACCATTTCTTGATTGGGTTGTTTGTTTCTTTAATATTGAGCTGCATGAGCTGTTTATATACTTTGGAGATTAATCCTTTGTCCATTGATTCATTTGCAAATATTTTCTCCCAGTCTGAGGGTTGTCTTTTCATCTTGTTTATCGTTTCCTTTGCTGTGCAAAAGCTTTTAAGTTTCATTAGGTCCCATTTGTTTATTTTTGTTTTTATTTCCATTACTCTAGTAGGTGGGTCAAAAAAGATGTTGCTGTGATTTATGTGAAAGACTGTTCTTCATATGATTTCCTCTAAGAGTTTTATAGTGTCTGGTCTTACATGTAGGTCTTTAATCCATTTTGAGTTTATTTTTGTGTATGGTGTTAGGGAGTGTTCTAATTTCATTCTTTTACATGTAGCTGTCCTTTTATTTCATCAGTGCCTTATAGTTTTCTGAGTACAGGTGTTTTACCTCCTTAGGTAGGTTTATTCCTAGATATTTTATTCTTTATGTTGCAATGGTGAATGGGATTTTTCCCTTAATTTCTCTTTCTGATCTTTCGTTGTTAGTGTATAGGAATGCAAGAGATTTCTGTGCATTACTTTTCTATCCTGCAACTTTACCAAATTCATTGATGAGCTCTAGTAGTTTTCTGGTGGCATCCTTAGGATTTTCTATGTATAGTATCATGTCATCTACACACAGTGACAGTTTTACTTCTTCTTTTACAATTTTTATTCCTTTTATTTCTTTTTCATCTCTGGTTGCCATGGCTAGGACTTCCAAAACTACATTGAATAAGAGTGGCAAGAGTGGACATCCTTGTCTTGTTCCTGATCTTAGAGGAAATGCTTTCAGTTTTTCACCATTGAGAATGATGTTTGCTGTGGGTTTGTTGTATATGGCCTTTAGTATGTTGAGGTAGGTTCCCTCTATGCCCATTTTCTGGAGAGTTTTTATCATAAATGGGTGTTGAATTTTGTCAAAAGCTTTTTCTACATCTATGGAGATGATCATATGGGTTTTATTCTTCAGTTTGTTAAATGGTGTATCACATTGTTTGATTTGCATATATTGAAGAAACCTTGCATTCCTAGGGTAAATCCCACTTGGCCATGGTGTATGATCCTTTTAATGTAGTGTTGGATTCTGTTGGCTAGTATTTTGTTGAGGATTTTTGCATCTATATTCATGAGTGATAGTGGTCTGTAATTGTCTTTTTTTATAGTATCTTTGTCTGGTTTTGGTATTGGGGTGATGGTGGCCTCATAGAATGAGTTTCGGAGTGTTCCTTCCTCTGCAAGTTTTTGGAAGAGTTTGAGAAGGATGGGTGTTAGCTCTTCTCTAAATGTTTGATAGAATTCACCTGTGAAGCCATCTGGTCCTGGACTTTGTTGGAAGATTTTTAATCACAGTGTCAATTTCATTACTTTTGATTGGTCTGTTCATATTTTCTATTTCTTCCTGGTTCAGTCTTGGAAGACTATACCTTTCTAAGAATTTGTCCATTTCTTCCAGGTTGTCCATTTTATTGGCATAGAGTTGCTTGTAGTAGTCTCTTATGATGCTTTGTATTTCTTCAGTGTCCGTTGTAACTTCTCCTTTTTCGTTTCTAATTTTATTGATTTGAGTCCTTTCCCTGTTTTTCTTGATGAGTCTGGCTAAAGGTTTATCAGTTTTGTTTATCTTTTCAAAGAACCAGCTTTTAGTTTAATTGATCTTTGCTATTGTTTTCTTTGTTACTATTTCATTTGTTTATGCTCTGATTTTTATGATTTCTTTCCTTCTACTAACTTTGGGTTTTGTTTGTTCTTTTTCTCCAGTTCCATTAGGTTTAAGTTTAGATTGTTTATTTGAGATTTTTCTTGTTTCTGAGGTAGGATTATATTGCTATAAACTTCCCTCTTAGAACTGCTTTTGCTGCATCCCATAGGTTTTGGATTGTCGTGTTTTCATTGTCATTTCTCTCTAGGTATTTTTTGATTTCCTCTTTGCTTTCTTCAGTGATCTCTTGGATATTTAGTAACGTATTGTTTGGCCTCCATGTGTTTGTGCTTTTTACGTTTTTTTCCCATAATTGATTTCTAATCTCATAGCGTTATGGTCAGAAAAGATGCTTGATATGATTTCAGTTTTCTTAAATTTACCAAGGATTGATTTATGACCCAAGATGTGATCTATCCTGGAGAACGTTCCATGTGCACTTGAGAAGAAAGTGTAATCTGCTTTTTCCAGATGGAATGTCCTATAAATATCAATTAAATCTATCTGGTCTGTTGTGTCATATAAAGCTTGTGTTTCCTTATTAACTTTCTGTCTGGATGATCTGTCCATTGGTGTAAGTGAGGTGTTAAAGTCCCCCACTATTATTGTGTTACTGTCGATTTCCCCTTTTATGGCTGTTAGCATTTGCCTTATATATTGAGGTGCTCCTATGTTGGGTGCATATATATTTATAAATGTTATATCTTCTTCTTGGATTGATCCCTTGATCATTATGTAGTGTCCTTCCTTGTCTC